TAGAGCAATAAGTTGTAAGAATTTTGTATACATGGGTGTAAAAATTATATAACAGTTCACATGAATAAAGGCAGGATTGCTTAAATAATAATAATAAAAAATTGATTTAGTTTTTGCTCTTGTTGAATTTAATATGTTTGAAATTGCTGTATTAAATTTGATGGATGTTTTATAGAATAGGTAGGCAATATAAAAAATAAACTCCGCTACTAATTAGTAATCATTAATAAATATTTGTGGAGTCTGCCCACCTATTCTATAGAACATCCAATTTGATTTAGATATTGCAATTAGTGTTCTGAGCTTCAGTTTAGGTTGAACCTAAACTTGAATACAAAATTGCTAAACCTGAACCAGACTCGAACATAACTATGTATTGGTTCAGTTCATAAACAAGTTCAGGTTCATACCCTATATAATACTTCTCCTTTCCTGACACACCCTTTCCTACCATATTACTCTTCACTAATATTTACTTTCCTTTGTCCCAACATTTACTTTTCTTTAATATTTCTTTTTTTCAACATTACTTTTCATTTACCCCTTGACATTTTCCATACCTGCCCTTTTTTTTTCTGCTATTCCTCTCCCCGATATTTTCCTCTCCTAACATTTTCTCTTCTCTAATATCTCTCCTTCCCTGCTATAAGTTATACCAACATATTAATTATTATGTATTATTACCCATTATTATTGTAAACACCATTTATATTATTTATTAATCATTTTATTACATAAAAGCTACCTCTAAACAAATATTCAAGCCTGTCTATTATTATTAGAATTAGTAGATAGCTTGTACATGAATTTTAAAAAACATGCATATGATTTTTGTAGGTATATTTTAATGAGCCCTGTACTGTAAGTATAACTAAACAAATATTTTTAATTAAAATATTAGATAAATACATCCAATTCTTGTGAAAAATAAAAACCTGTTATTATAACGATAATAAAATATATAGAGATGAATGGCTTATGTCTATTTTATAATATAAAGTCACATGCTTTATCTACTTTATCAATAACTTACAACTAACATTCTAAATTATTTTAACATTAAAGATGAGTTTCATAGTTATGAGAGTAAATCCAAAGTGTGTAATGGTCATAGATTTGAATATTTTTATAGCATCGCAAATTCAAAGCATATACCCGATAGTTAACTATTGCTAACTATTTGCACTAAAAATCTGATTTATGTCAAAAAATATCAGATAAAAAAAATAAAAATAAAATAAAAAATAAATAAGTACTTGTTATTTGACATGTTTTATGTAAACACTGAACAATTTTTGTGTAAGTTATTCGGCAACCTCTTAATACAAATACACAAATTTTCATCACCTCTTATAGAAGTAATGAAAATATATGTATTTGTATTAGAGGGTAGATGAATAACTTACACAAAAATCATTCAATGTTTATGTTGACATGTCGGATAACTTAGTTATCAGTCGAGTTCTAGTGATTGATGCCTGATTTTTCATAGTAAATATCCTAATAAATAATCAGTTATTAATCAAAATACAACAGATAACTAGTACTTATTGGTTATGTTGTAGATGATAACTGATTATTCATTAGGTTACTATATAAATCACGTGGCTTTGCTACATCATTTATATTGTTTCCTACGAATAATCAGTTTTTATTACAATTTAACTGATAAATATCAGATATCTGATATTTCTTTTTTACCTGATATGCTTCTGATATTTTTTTGATATATGCCAATAGAGATCAGATTTTTGGCACAAATAGTTAGCAATAGTTAGCTATCGGGTATTGAATATTTATGCTTTGAACCTGTGTTAGTAATGTGTCCAAATTGTTTTGTACAAAATTACAGATATATCAACTTTTATTGATTTGGAAATTTACCAACTACAAGATATATACTTTTCCACTGCAGGGAAATATTTCCAGTTAAATGAGGGCCCTTCGGGCCTCATAATCAGGAATTTACCTGCTGTTGCGAAAAATAAATAGTACTTATTCACTTTTAATTTGATTTCTTATTACATTGATTTAGTCAGTAATGATTGTGCATTTAAAATAAGCCATTTCTTTATATATTATATTAATCTGTAGTCTAAAATATGACAAAAAAATTTGCTTCTCAAGTTATTCTATCTCAGTAAGATTATAAATTATCTGCTATTTCTCATTAAATTAATTATTTAGTTTAATTAACATAAAAGTATAAAATAATTTGTTTAATCAAAGCATTCGAAAACAATGTATACAATTTTATCAGTTTATTGTCTGTGCTCTGATTTGGTCGATAAACAATCTTTTATTCAAGTTGATCCAGTCAATATTATTTATTAATAAATATTTAAAAAGAATCTATATATCTATTATTAATTATTCATGCTGATTTATGACTTGATTTCTGGAAATTTACATGCAAAATATTGATGATAAATTTTAGTCTTATCTAAACTCAAAGTTGTGTGATGTTCTACTTATACATGTACTGTATATTATAATAGTGCTCATAATCTAAACCCAACAAAATCACAAAAAATATGTTCGTTACGATAATTTTATGCTAACTATATTAGAACTGATAGTCTTTTTAATCTGTCTTACTCAAGTGTTTAGAATAAATAATTACAAATATTTATTATTTTACCTCACACCAACTTTTCAACTTAGATGAGTGAAGTGAAAACAAAAGTCTAAGTTACGTTATTGAGTATTATAAACTCACTAGCGATCAATTTAAAACTATACCTATGTAAGTCAAAAAAAATTCAACTATTGATTTTTTGGAGGCAATGCTATGAATTGTTTAATCTGGACTCCTTGAACTCTTGAACAAGTTCATGAACTTTTGAACTAAACACATGTAAAAGTTTAGTATAGTTCAGGTTCAGATTCGGTTCAAATTTTGAATCAAACTGAACTTATCTTAAGTTTAGTTCAGTTTAGGTTCATAGGAGTACTAATTGCAACCAGGCTTTAATATTTGGTATTTGGAAATAAAAAATTAATTGCAGATCTGTATATAATTGATAGATTTTCATAGATGCAGAATTTATAGTACAAAAAATATATTTATATATTTTATTATATAAAATGATAGTTATTTGTTATTTATTTACACTTGTTATATTTAGTGCAAATCTTAAGCTTTGCCGTTTGTATTTATAGACTATTTATTACTTATAGTTTTAAGAGGTTTTATATGAAGGAAAGAAAGATTTTATATGTTAATTTTATGTTTAAGTATATTCTAAATATATTTTTGATACTTACTATTGTCCTATCAAACATTGTTATTACAGTATTATTCTTTGATAGTGCTTTTTCTGATGCATCTTTTTTGAAATTTGCACTGTATCTTCCTATCCAGCCTTTTATAGTTTTTATTGTTGGTATTTCTTCAAAGGTAAGTTCTCCATTTATAGCCAAGTTTTCTAAACTGGCATGTATATCTTCAGGTAAGTAATGATCTTTAGCTTTCAAATTTTCTGCTAAAAAAAAACCTGCAAGTATTGTACTACTTTTTTTGCTATGTGTTTTCCTGCACCTTTTTTACCAAGTTTCATATTCTTTTTTAGGGCCCAGCCGGCATTAAAAGGGAACTCCTAATCCACACTATAACATGGTTGCTTAGTATACAAAATAATATATACCAAATGAAGTGACTAACAGTATAGTAATAAATATACTACCTTGAATCTTTCAATTTGATGAATTCAAATAGTTTGTGGATAGCAAAATAGATAAAAAAGTAAGTAGTACAAACTAGTATTCAAATCTATGTGCTTTGGGATTTTTATATATAGAAAATGCATACATTTGTATATAATTACCTCTTATAGTGTTTGACATTTTATTTAATTTATTACTGCTAACTAAAATAAATATCAATTTATAGAATATTTAGTACAAATAAGATATACCATTTAACTAAATCTCCTTTGACAAACACTTGCACATGATAATTATAAAGAATCTTCTTGATTATTAAGATTAAGCTTTTTTTATAATATAAAGTTGATTGTAGAAATTTAACACTAGAAGAACTAGTAAGCATAATTATAAAATAAAGATTCTTTGTGATTATAATAGCAAGTTTCTTTGTTATTAGGCTAAATTAGATATTTGTATATATTATAGCTTAGGTTATATCTTTAAATACTGCCATATTACCTAATTTGTTGCTTATTTCTTCGCTCATAGATAATTCCAATAATAATAATTATTATTATTGTTTTTATTTTTTTGCCAATCAACTATAACAAATGAGCTTTCTTGTTTGTTTTTTTAATAATTGGCATTGTCTAAGCAGTTTTGAGTTTAAATAGCTCAGAAAATTTTAGAGATAGTCTATTATAGAAAGTAGCAATTTGTTTAGGTCAAAAATCAGTCCACACACCTATATGAAAAAGAGAATAGGTATAAATATATTCTGCAAATTAACTTGTTACAGGCCAGAACTACTCAAACAATCTAGAAATACTGAGTATGGTTTTGAATTTTTTTTTGTTAATATCAGATTCTAATTGATTATTAACTCTAACATTTTGTAAAAATAATTGCACATATATATAAGATCATTAACATGACTCAGATCAGAATATCTGACATGTCAAATAGTATAGTATGCTTTGAATATTATTTGATATACAAATTTTCATAATTTTGACTAATAGAAAGCTAATATTAAAAACAAACTTATTTTATTTGAACTTACTTTAATGATTCAAAACTTATCTCTACATTGTCTTGATCTATTAATAATATTGATTTGTTCACCATTCTGCTATAATTTGGTTCTATATATGCTGTAGAAGTTTCACTTATATTCTAAAGTGCTATTTTGATATTTTTTCTATTAGTAAGATCATATCCAACTCTGATGTATCTTTTAATTGCATGTGCAATTTATAATTAATATCAAATTTATTAGTAAAAGGTAAAAAAAAAAATTAAATACAAAGTTTTTGCCTTAAAAATAATCTTATGAGACATTAGATCATTTTTAAGACAAAAATTCTGAATTTACTTGCTGTTGTATGATGAGAGTCAACAGTAGTTTTGGCCTCTTCTGGCTTAAGAAAAATCTATCTATACACTTTTAAATTATACCAACTATACTAATGACTAATAATTGATATTAATTCTGAGTTATGATAGTATCTTCCATTGTCTGAAATTATTTTAATCCAATGAGGTTTGGGGTTTATTGTTATAAATACTGCTTCAAAACATAACACTATAAACCAAACATCTTGCTTGGTATCAGAACTTCAATAATCATAGGTTTGAATATCTAAATTTTCATTATCTTTATTTTTTTGAAATACCAAAGTTGTATATAGCATCTATCCACACTTTCTATAAAATTGGCTTTTTGTTTCTCAAGATATTGCAGATAAAATCTGCATTTTATAATCAACTACAATAATAGCTCTGTAATTATCTAACTCTTGTAATGTAAAATTAAATTGTGTATTCAAATATTTTTTATAAGTCTGATGCACTAAATAATATATTAATTGGTTTTGGCATTCAGAAAGTTGCATATTATAGGTATTATCAAGTTTATTTATAATAAGGTCTTCAAATATTTTAAAAAATTTGTCACACTCTTGGTACCAAGAAAAATGCTAATATTCGCATTCACCAAAAGCAAATAACAAACAATCATTAATTTCATGAATATAATAATTCTACAAAAAGTATATATTAATAAGATAAAAAACAAAAGGTTTTTTATATTTGACTAACCTGTAATATTTTATTAGAAAAGTTTTTATTGATTGTTTCAATTAAATCCTTGAAAGGTTGATAATTATAATCATTGCATGTTAGACACAATTTTCCTAAATCTTCTCAATAACAAAAATAGCTATTTTGTAAGTGATCCATAAAGAAAGTGTGTCTTATTCTATCAGGATATATAACAGAAAACTTTTTCCAAAGTACAGTTTTTTGATTCTTCAGATAAAGAATAGGTAATTGTGTTTTTGTATCAACCTTGTAGGAACTTATATTTATATTGTCTTTATCACTAAAAAATAATTTGAACTCTTTTTTTTTAATTTTAGACATTTTTTGATGAGTAATTACAGGTTTTTCTAATGAAATATATCCAGGTCTATTGATACAAGAAAACTGTTATGCTATATTGATACTATTAGGTAATACCTAAATTATATATAATTTATTTAATACCATTACAATCTATAACTTTATTGATTATAAAACATACTTTTAATTCATCTGTTATATAAACCTTTCTGCAATTATTGATAGTATGCACACTTTACTATTTGCTCCTTTTGAATTTGCATTGTAACTATTATAGAAGCAGTTTCAAAATGCTTTGATAGTCAAAGCTTGTGGAGATATGTTTAAAATTCTTTTCTCATATAAGTTCTTGAGTATATTGCAGTCTTTATTAGAATTAGATGCATTTGTCTAATAGTTATTCTATATATATACGGTATATTTTTTTTAGCTTATTATTTCTAACTTATAATTAGAGCTTCATATTTGTATTCATTATTTGAATAATAATTGTATTTAGCGAATATTTGAATAAATATTTATCTAATGAATTATTCAAATAACATATTTGAATAAATAATTTTTATTCAAATGATTTATGTGAGACTTCAGTTATTGGCTAATTTATATATAGCAATAGCAATGATATATGCTTTATATCTAATAGCTATATGTTATTTGAATAATTAGTACTTATTCGAATTCTGTTAGTCATTTAGAAATATTCGAATATTTGCTAATCTAAATTATTTGAATGTAAACTCTACTTATAATAATGAATTTTTATATTATCTGTGAAGTTATATAAGTACTGCTAAAAGAAATTTATATATCAGGTTTTTGAATTTATTATTTTTCAGAATTGATTTTGATTAGTAACTAATATACAATCAGATAAGTCTGATAAATTATAAACCTAAAATCTAAGATTTGATTTCTTCTAGTAGTGCTTATATAAATACAATCAAAGAATAATTGAACTACTGTTAATATACTGAATTTTTTATTTATTATAGCTAGATTAAAATAGCAACTTATTATATTTTGCTGTATAAACTAGCCAAGGTTTCTTAAATCTACCTAAGAACCAATTTAGACTTACTAATCTATAAGAATAAAGGTTTATCATTAAGAAGAGTCTTATATATTAAACTTAAAAACATATATATCAGAAAATTTTTAAATAAGATACATATCGATTAATAGCTGCAGAGTTAATTGGCATTGATTTATATTGATTATAATTAATCGCTTGTAATCATTTAAATTTAAATGATTGCAATTGATTTATATTAATTACAATTGATTGTAATCATTTAAATTTAAATAATTGCAATTGATTATAATCGATATAAATTAATGCCAATTAATCCTGCAGCTAGTAATCAATATGCATCTTATTTAAAAATTTCCTGATGTATTATATAGACCCAGGTTTCTTCTTTTTTTTTATCTCAAATCAAATATAGATATCAAACCTAAGTCTACTACTATTAGATGTTTATACAGTAAAATATAGTAGGTTGGTAATGATAGTTTGTTATAATTAGACTATGTTATAACAAGAATATTTTTATAAAGCTATGATGAACTATTATGTATTATAGTTTTTTTTTTTGATACTTACCTTAGAAATTTGTTTGTTATACAGAGTAATATTTGTGCATTCTACTGCACAAAAAATTGCTTGCCATGCCCATGCTTCATATTTACGAAGTTCATGATTCAAACTATATATTCTACTAAGATGAGTATACAATTCAATAATATTGCTTTTTTGTTGTTTCCAAATTTGAAATACCTAATACTATTCTTTGATGGATTTACCAACAGCTTTTTTTAAATGTAAATCAAATAAATGTTCCATGATTAACTTGTTGTTCCAATCTGCTAATATACATTTATCAGGTATTAATATTTAATGTAAAAATTTGGTTTGATATATTTGATCAAGTTTTTGTAAAGTTAATAGATGGTTTATAGTGAATAAAGTATTACTTGAAATAGATTTTAGCACACCAGTTTTTTGCCAAATGGCATTAGGTGAATTATCATTATACTCTGCTATGATTTGACTGTCTTGATAAATTGCAATTGAATATGAGCTATCATTCTTTATACTTTGAAAAAAAACTGATTGCTTTGCTTTGTATTTATAAAATAATAATGATGTATAATTATAACCAATTGTTTTTTGGCTTGAACATATAATTTTACCAAGAGAACTAACAAAAATAGATAGGTTTTTTATTTTAATAATAGAGGGATAAAAAACAACACCTTCTAATAATTTTTGAGATGGTTTGGTTTGTTCTAAACCTAAATATAAAAGACCTGCAAATTTTGCCTTAGTGCCAAAAATGACCTGGTAAACAGAAGTAATTGCTATAGAAAAACTTGTAACAATGCTACTACTTTTCCCAGCATCTTCACATATATAACCAGGCTGTAAGTGACTATGTATATAATGAACAACATGAATAATAAAAAACTTCTTATTAAGCTGTATTATAATCTCAAGTCCTAGACA